GGTCTTGGAGCACAGCCTCAAGCTGCAGCAAATTTGGTTTGCTAGCATAGATTATGGTGTCGTGTGTGTGCATGTGTACAGTTGAGGCTTTGCGGACATTAGGTAGATCATTTATGAATAATGTGAATAGTTGGGTGCCAAGTATGGAGCCTGTGGAACTCCACATGTGACTGGGAGAGGGAGGGATTCGCTGTCAGAAATGGACACATATTGTGATCGTCCGATAGATATGATTGGAACCAGGTTAGCGGATGATCACCAATACCTGAGTTTTTAAGTTTTCTCAACAGAATGCCGTGGTCTATTGTATCAAAGACCTTGGCAAAATCACGGAAGATAGCTACAGTTAGGCCTCCTTGTTCCAGGCAAGTTTGGATGTAATTGAAAACTTTTAAGAGGGCAGTTGTAGTTGAGTGATTTGGTTGAAAGCGTGACTGATCAGGGGTTAGATACTTAGATTTTTGGTAATGTGATGGGATTCCAGCATGGTCAAAATTTAGTAGGCCAAAATCTCCATGTGGCATATGTGTATGTTGTGTCAGTTGGTTAGCTACATGTAGCTAGGATACTGTCATCAGTGTACTGAGCATGTGCAGGAATGCAGGAACTGAAATTGCACTTATTTCCTTTGTCTTGGATGAGCCATGTGGTTTGACTAGATGTACAAGTCTATATTCTGCTCATTGATTGGTTAAAGGTATATGTGGGTGTAGCTATTAATGGGAGGAGTTATAGTGCTATATAAGGAATGTACACTATGTGTTGGTCTCTCAGATCTTTTGGAACAGGAGTTCATCTGAGACCCGATCGGTAATGTGAATAAAGGCCTGTTACTTCCTGAAGACCTGTGTCCAATATTTCTGTGTTTGGCTTCTGCATGCTTACACTGCAACATTTCTGGTGCAATTGGCCGGGAACCTCATTTGCACGGAAGCTGGCACAGAGATTTGAGACGGTAAACTTTTACCAAACCTTCTACGCTACAATCCTGGACTTCTACTGCGTGGACCTCCTTTCGTCTCGGCGCCACTGGCCTTTTGTCCAGGAGATCATCGGCTTCTGCGCAGTGAGTCCCGGATTGTTCCGTCTATGAGTGAACCCAGGTCCAGAAATTAACAGGTAAGATTGATACCGTTAGAGCGGTAGACCCACAAGGGGTTTTATATTTGGAACCGGTTATTGGTATTGGCCCCTTCAATAGAAGGAAGAAGTGAAAAGCGCAACACTTATCTGGAAATTAGACGCTCTGTAGTCAGCCCGTCTAATATAGGTGGTTTGGGTCAGACTGAGTTCTGGTGTAAATAGCTCATGTCGGACACCGGTGTCCTGTCTTGACTAGCGTATCTAGGGTGTAAATTTTGTTCGCTAGGTCGGGGGGACCGGGAGACTAGCATACTCTGTTGTATATTATAGTTTGCTAGATTTCACCCTATCTTAACTAAGTGTGCTCTGTTGTAAATCCAGCCACTAGCTTATTGATAGTTTAATAGACTAGCTGGGTACTGTGTAAATTCTGCCCTCTAGTTCGCTATACGTGGTGTCTGGGCAGCGAAGAACTTATCGAATCTCTGGTGTATAAATAGATCGAAAGCTCTCGAGGTGCTGGCCAGTTAGAATAGTTGGGATTATTGTAAATGTTGTTAAATATATTGTAGTTGGTGAATTGGTTAACTTGTATGTCCTACTAGAAAGTTAGAGCTCTGCTGTCTAGTGGGAGTGTAAATTGTGTGTATAACTGTAAAATAGCGCACGGTACCATAACTACTGACATGTACCATAACCACTGACATTGTGTAAAAATTACTAACAATTGCTGTTTTATGTTATATGTATAATACCATAACTGTTACTAACTGATCTGTGACTTTAAAACTGTATTATAACCACTTACTAACTGTACCATAACCACTGACTGTAAAGATGAGGTTACTAGAATGTGATATAGTTGGTTAGTCAAGAGTTGATTTATAGTACGATAATTGTAGAGATGAAATTTGTTGAAATGTTATGTGATCGGTTAGTTTATATGGATTAATAGCGTGGATAGTTGTATGGTTTGAATAATAGTTACATTGATAAGTGTATAGTCTTTGGTGGGTTTTTGATTTAATTTCGTGTGTGCGACGTCGTGATATTGTTGAGCATGTGAGGATCCTGTGTGTGTGTTTGGGCCTAGTGACTGCGCAATGTGTTGCTGGTGATAAGGAGATTGGTGTGACTGTTGAAACTGTGTGTATATTTGTACAGCTTTTTGAATCAGACGTTCTGTTGAAATAATCTGATTCACTAGGCTGTTGTCTTGTATGTTTAAAAAAAAAAAAAAAAAAAGTAGGGAGTAGCCTGTCCTGGTGGCCGCATGGCCTCCATGTAGCAGTCTTCACTTAAATTTAGTGCAGGGTGTACATGTGGCTGTAACTAGTAGGCTGGAATTCTATGATCAGTTTCTATATATTGACTGTTGGAAACTGATTGTTGAAAAACTGCCTTGGTGAATTAAACTGTGTCATATGAGAAACAATGTAGCCATATGGTGGTCAGAACTAAGGACTTAATTACAACTGCTTTGGACATCCCCTCCCCCCCTGGCATCTGATTACCAACCCCCCAAACATCCTCCAGAGCCAGAGTAGCCACGCCCCTATTCTTCTTCCCAAAACTGGTATATAGTCAGTATTTGCACTCCCCCTGCTCTACTGTCCCCGCCTACCCACATACCTATCTGTTCCTGTGTTTCAAACTCTTGTATTTCTGTACTACCCCTCCCCCTAATCAATGATCAATGGTATCAGATGGTATATTGGTTTTTTTAGTTACTGGATGGGCCCCTCCCAGCTTTGTCCAAAATGTCCCCTTTTACTAAACTACAAACTGAAATGTTTAATTTACCTTAGAACTAAAGATTTAATCAAGCCTAGCTAGCAGGGTGGACATTGATTAAAATAAGTAATAATAAAATAGGACATAATTAATTAAAGTCTATTTGTTTCATTTGACTTTAGGGAGGCACTCTAAGCCACCTACTGGCCATCTTCGGGAGTTACATTGATAATACATTGTTTATAACAGATAGATGTAGGATTGCTTACCCTATTTTAATATATTTATTGCTATAAGGTTTTATTTTATGTATAAATATATTAAAAGTTGAGTTTTCTTATTAGACCCATAAAGATTATTTTGATACAATTACCCTCTGGTGACACCTACTGGTAGGTTTTTGGTTTAACACTTTAAACAAAAACGTTTTTTCATCCACCAAATGCTGACTAATAAAATTAGCTCACCCCCTTACACCTATCTTACTACTCCTAGACTGGAACCTATTATTGAGCAGCCTTGCCGAAGTCCCATATTAGACACTGCTTGAGTCAAATAGATTGTACACTCCTTTCAACCCCTGAAAACTTCCGAATGATAGACTCAGCATTTGTCAGCCAGGCCCAAGGTGATAGTAAAAGGAAATTACAGAAATTAGAGGGATTTGCAGGGATGTCCATATTACAGCTAATGGAGATTGCAAATACAGTATATATGAATAGGGAGACGGAGGAAGAACGTAAAATGAGGAAAAAGGCAGATATGCTAGCGGTAGCTATCTTAAGTGTAGAAAGACAGGGAAGTGAATAGAGGAGACGAGAATAGGCTGAGCAAGGGACTTTAAGTAGGAATTAATGTGCGTATTGTAGAAAGGAGGGACATTGGAAGAGTGAGTGTCCACAGAGAGAGCAGTATGAAGGTGATAGACAAGGAGAGAGAAGGGTACGAGGAGGTTATAGTGGTAGTTATAGAGTAAGAGGAAGTTTTAGAGGGAATGGTGGGAATAGTAGAGGAAGTGTTCAAGGAGACAGATACTATCCACCCACGCAGAGACCTAGAGAAAGAGAGGATAGAGATTTTGTGGGTCTGGCTGACACTATCATGGAAGACTATTGATACCGACTGGGCTCCATCCCACTTGGTCGAGCGGAGCCTATGGTCGATGTAGCAATAGGGGGAAAGAGAAGTTCTTTCATGATCGACACAGGTGCTGAACATTCTGTGGTGACTAAGATGGTGGCTCCGCCTTCGGGGAAGACTATAACTGTGATAGGAGCTACTGGGAGAAGTGCAGCTAGACCGGTTCTTAAGAGTCGCACTTGTATTCTGAGAGGCCATGTGGTGAAGCATTAGTTCCTATATATGCCAGAGTGTCCGATTCAACTTTTAGGACGAGATCTATTATCGAAGCTTTAAGCTCAGATAACCTTTTACCTAATGGATTAACATCTCTGAAGTTTAAGGGATTACCAGGCATAATGGTGATATCGGTGCCAAGGGAAGAAGAATGACGCTTCTATTCCATAGTGACAAGTGTTAACCCTAAGAGTGATGAATCCTTATTTGACATTCCAGGAGTATGGGAAGAAAATAATCCTCCAGGACTTGCTCGTAATATCCCACCAATACATATTGAGTTAAAGCTCGGGGTGTATCCTGTTAGCCTTTGTATGTTGTTCTTTTATCTACCCCAACAGCTGTAAAGGTGGCGGAAGTGACTCCTTGGATTCATCATTCTAAGGTTAAACCAGCAGCAGACTCTTGGCAAACTACTCCAGATCCTGAGAATCCTTGCAGGACCCGGTTGAAGCGTGCAACTCAGTCGGAGTGACGAGGGGATATCGAGACATTCTAGTTAAAAGTCTACAAAGATCATCAAGTAGGTGTTTTGACGGCCATAATAAAGCCTGACCACCTGCCTACGTGTCATAGCCAGAGTATCTTGAAGGGATCTCTGTGAAGGAAAGTGAGGATCAGAAGAACAACATCCTTGCAGCCCTCACAATCGGGAAGCTGAGAGGCCATCGCACGGTCGAAGAAAAATGAGGATTTCAGGAATAATGTGTTTTATTGTGTCTTAGTATTTTTATGATTTTTCAGGAAGGTAGGAGTACAGACATACCGAATTGCGATAGTTGCATTAAGACTACTAAAACAGGTAACCAAATATCCCAAACTCTCATCTGGCACTCACAGTATGAATGTAAGGGATCTGTATCTAAATGTAGATATTTGGATATTGATTATAGTGTGTGCAAGCCAATATCAGGAGAGTCTAAATGTTTTGATCCCCATTTCCAACCCCGTACAATTTGGTTGGTAATTCGGAATAGTAACTCCCAGGGGACATTAATAAATAGGACTGTGATAAGCACCATACATTCCACGGGTATTCTACTATTTGATGCATGTAAGGCGATTTCGGGTAGTGGAAGACTTTGGAATGTATGTGGTAATCTTAAATGGGAACGAACTTATGGGTTTAATGATAAATACTTATGTCCCAGTAAAAGACCTACTGATCCTGATTGCCCAAATAGAGACTAACTTCTGCCCCTATTGGTCATGTGTAGGTTGGGCAACCTGGGAAAAACAGTGGATCAAGATATGATTATCCAAAGGTTGCCTACCACACCATACTGTAAAACTATGTGTGTAACCCCGTTCACATGACCATTTCCAATCTGCAGTACTTTATTGACAGGTTTGGAGGTCTGTTTGGGTTCCAAATATATGGCACAGGAGTAGATTCAGGAACAATAATATATGTAGGTCTTGAAACTGAGACAGTGGCAACTCAAACTCATCAGGTTTCTCATTCCTTCTATGAGGAGATGAGTATTGAGGATAAAATTCCCCATAATGTTAACAACCTATTTATTGATTTGGCTGAGGGTATTGCAGGTAGTCTTAATGTAACTAATTGCTATGTGTGTGGAGGTACTAATATGGGAGACCAGTGGCCATGGGAGGCAAAGGAAATATGGTACCCTGGCTCTGAGACATATGAACAACAGATACCTTTCCAGTCTGATCATCAAGTAAGTACTAGAAGTAAATTGGAATGGTGGTTAAAAACCTCCATTATAGGTCATGTTTGTATAGCCAGGAAAGGGACAATGTATAACACGTCTGTAGGTGAGCTAACTTGCTTGGGACAAAAAGCCTATAATGTTAATACTAAAAATACTACTTGGTGGTCAGCTTCAAATGTCTCGGAACCTACTAATCCGTTTGCCAATTACACTCATTTAAAGGAGGTATGGTTTGACTTATCGGCTACATCTAGTTGGAAAGCCCCAGCAAATTTATACTGGATCTGTGGTAAGAAAACTTATTCAGAGTTACCACAAGATTGGGAAGGGGCATGTGTATTAGGTATGCCAAAGCCATCCTTCTTCTTGTTGCCAATCGAAACAGGAGAGACCTTGGGAGTTAAGGTTTACGATGTAAATCATAAAAGGGAGAGAGCATCCTTGAATATAGGTAGCTGGGAAGATAATGAGTGGCCCCCTCAACGTATTATTAATTATTATGGACCTGCTACTTGGGCAGAAGATGGCACTTATGGATATAGAACTCCGATTATATATGCTCAACCGCATTATTAGACTACAGGCGGTAGTTGAGATTATTACTAATGAGACAGCTCAAGTGCTTAATCTTCTAGCTAAGCAAAATACCAAGATGTGATCAGCCATATACCAGAATAGGCTAGCCCTTGATTACTTACTAGCAGTAGAAGGAGGTGTATGCGGAAAGTTTAATCTAAGTAACTGTTGTCTGCACATAGATGATGAAGGGCAGGCAGTGGCTGAACTTACAAGCCACATGGTTAAATTTGAGCATGTACCTACTCAGGTCTGGAATGGGTATAACCTAAGTAGTTGGTTTGGAAGTTGGTATGAGCAGCTTGGAGGAATTAAGACATTAGTAGGAGGAGTAGAATTTATTATTTTTTTGTGCCTCCTCCTGCCCTGTCTAATTCCACTAGTGGTAAGGTCCCTACGTAGTATTATAGAGAGTACTAGAGAGAAAGACAGCGGCTCATGTAATGGCTGTCTGGAAGATATGATCCCCTAGCCCGAAGAGAATATATTCAGGATGAAGAATGTTGAAGGAGTTTTTAAGATGCTTACAAGGTCTACTCTGGTTCAATGGCTACTTGAGAGATGTAGGTAAAACTGTGATTGGTGATGCATCTGGAATAATGTTATATCAGAGGCATCAAAGGGGGGAATGTGATGGGATTCCAGCATGGTCAAAATTTAGTAGGCCAAAATCTCCATGTGGCATATGTGTATGTTGTGTCAGTTGGTTAGCTACATGTAGCTAGGATACTGTCATCAGTGTACTGAGCATGTGCAGGAATGCAGGAACTGAAATTGCACTTATTTCCTTTGTCTTGGATGAGCCATGTGGTTTGACTAGATGTACAAGTCTATATTCTGCTCATTGATTGGTTAAAGGTATATGTGGGTGTAGCTATTAATGGGAGGAGTTATAGTGCTATATAAGGAATGTACACTATGTGTTGGTCTCTCAGAATGTTGGAACAGGAGTTCATCTGAGACCCGATCGGTAATGTGAATAAAGGCCTGTTACTTCCTGAAGACCTGTGTCCAATATTTCTGTGTTTGGCTTCTGCATGCTTACACTGCAACATTTCTATATATATATATAATTTTATTTTTTATGTATTTTTTTTTCATGTTACAGGGTGTCAGTCTCATGTCCTGCTTTCTACTTCTGTATTTCTTATTACATAGCTAAGGTAATACTGTATACATAGCTTGAAAGACCAAATTGTCAGTAGGCCTGATTATAATGCAAGATACTCATGCTTTGAAAGGGTTAAACTCTCATTTTTTAAGCATACAATATTTTTCTGTTCTGGTTTTTGGTGTTCGTCTGACACCAGCTTTCCCTATCTTTTATGTATATACAGCACTTGAAAAAAATAGCATTCTTTCTAGCACCTGCAACTTTTAATTGGGTTCCTAAATCAAAGACTGTCATGTGCATCAGTTAACAAGAGACTAACTAACGGCAATAAGTAATGTTATATAAAAAATTGTACTTTTGGTTCTGAAACTCCTATGATTGGTTAATGTTTTTGTTGATGTATACACCCCTAGACAAACTGTGTTTTATATATACGATGTACGACACATTAAACCTTTGAATGCTTATTGATAATCGATCTGAAATGGTGTGACTTCTTTGAGTATTCCCAGCAGCTAATAACAGATAAAAAGGAAAGCAGAAATGTGTTAGTGCAGAAGTTCATGGCAGCGTAAGGGTTTCCAGACCATGTTGTGATTTCCAGCCTGTCACAGAGGCTGACAGCCATACCCACAGAGGAAGACACAGTCACACACAGTTACAGCCACACACACAGAGGCAGATAGTCACACACACAGTTACAGTCAAACACATGCAGTTACCTTCCATTATGGGCTGGCAGGGAGGAGTGGAGGCAGTGAGTTGAGCTCTTGGAGTCTGGATGTTGGGGAAGCAGGGACTCCTTCCTGCTTCCCCTTTCCTGTGCAGCAATTACCCAGCATGTCTTTTAGCTCTGCCTCTGCTGTCATTTAGCTCCGCCTACCACACGCTAAGCCCAGCCCACGCAGCAATGTGTTTTTTTTTTTGTATAATCCCAGGTGGAGAATAAGGAAATTCTCCGCCCGGGTAGCTGGACCTGTGTGAGTGCTGCTCGCACACCCCTAAGGCCGGCCCTTGATACAGGGTCTTCATTTGGGAGGCCACAAGAGGGGGAACAGCCCACTTTGCCCCCGAGACACCCCATGTGTAGGGACACCTCCATTAGCAACTCCTCACATGACTGCTAGAGGTACTTCCTGGGGCAGTGCTGCACAGTGTGCTACTCTGCATGCAGACACTGAACTTCGCTCATAGAGATGCATTGATTAAATGCATCGCTATGAGGATTTGCTGATTGGCCAGGGTTGTGTTTGACTTGTGCTGGCTCTGCCCCTGATCTGCCTCCTTGACAGTCTCAGCCAATACTATGGGGAAGCATTTTGATTAGCTTAGACCACCACTTCTGATGAGGTCAGATGACAGTTTAGGGGCAGAGGCAGACACTGCAGACTTAAATATAAGTAAGATTTAACAATATTTATGGGGGCAAGGGGCGGTGGTTTTACCACTATAGGGTCAGGGATACATGTTTGTGTTCCTGACCCTATAGTGTTCCTTTAAGCATTACTTAACTAATGTTTGTGCCAGTTTCGTTTTGGAAATATTGTGCATTTATAGGGCATCAAATTCTGCCCACGTTACATCCCACGTTTTTAAATGTTAAAAACAAATATACCATTCATTTGTGCTGCTTTTTTGTGATAAAATATTTCTTTGTGTTGCTTTGACTTTTTAGTTATAACAGTTTTTGTTTCAGGGGATATTATGTAATCCAGGATCCAATTTAACAGCGATGTCACTCCAAACCTGACAAACTGCTACAAATTTAGTAGTCCTTACAAAGGGGCAAAATAAGAGTTTAAATAAAACCTAAATACAGGGAGTGCAGAATTATTAGGCAAGTTGTATTTTTGAGGATTAATTTTATTATTGAACAACAACCATGTTCTCAATGAACCCAAAAAACTCATTAATATCAAAGCTGAATATTTTTGGAAGTAGTTTTTAGTTTGTTTTTAGTTATAGCTATGTTAGGGGGATATCTGTGTGTGCAGGTGACTATTACTGTGCATAATTGTTAGGCAACTTAACAAAAAACAAATATATACCCATTTCAATTATTTATTATTACCAGTGAAACCAATATAACATCTCAACATTCACAAATATACATTTCTGACATTCAAAAACAAAACAAAAACAAATCAGTGACCAATATAGCCACCTTTCTTTGCAAGGACACTCAAAAGCCTGCCATCCATGGATTCTGTCAGTGTTTTGATCTGTTCACCATCAACATTGCGTGCAGCAGCAACCACAGCCTCCCAGACACTGTTCAGAGGTGTGCTGTTTCCCTCCCTTGTAAATCTCATTTGATGATGGACCACAGGTTCTCAATAGGTTTGAATCAGGTGAACAAAGGAGGCCATGTCGATAGATTTTCTTCTTTTTATACCCTTTCTTGCCAGCCATGCATTACTTGGGCCAGCGTGTGATGGAGCAGTATCCTGCATGAAAATCATGTTTTTCTTGAAGGATGCAGACTTCTTCCTGTACCACTGCTTGAAGAAGGTGTCTTCCAGGAACTGGGAGTTGAGCTTGACTCCATCCTCAACCCGAAAAGGCCCCACAAGCTCATCTTTGATGATACCAGCCCAAACCAGTACTCCACCTCCACCTTGCTGGCATCTGAGTGGACTGGAGCTCTCTGCCCTTTACCAATCCAGCCACGGGCCCATCCATCTGGCCCATCAAGACTCACTCTCATTTCATCAGTCCATAAAACCTTAGAAAAATCAGTCTTGAGATATTTCTTGGCCCAGTCTTGACGTTTCAGCTTGTGTGTCTTGTTCAGTGGTGGTCGTCTTTCAGCCTTTCTTACCTTGGCCATGTCTCTGAGTATTGCACACCTTGTGCTTTTGGGCACTCCAGTGATGTTGCAGCTCTGAAATATGGCCAAACTGGTGGCAAGTGGCATCGTGGCAGCTGCACGCTTGACTTTTCTCAGTTCATGGGCAGTTATTTTGCGCCTTGGTTTTTCCACACGCTTCTTGCGACCCTGTTGACTATTTTTCTTTCAAATTGACAATTTTTATTTTTCAGAGATCAAGTGGGGTACAGAAAGGAAAAGGGG